GAGTGATAGTTTCTCTTTCAGAATTACATAAAATACAAAAAGGGGAGGTAACCAGGCCAATTTTACAAAGGAAAGAATTTGTTGTCAGGATGTGATGAACCACTCGGAACTGAAACCACTGAAGCTTTGTATTTTTTGTAGCTTGGAAAGGAATTTTGAAAATTTTGGCCCACTCTGTATCAATTATATCATCAAAAATTTGGTTCCATTTCATTTTACCAGTTGGTATTGGATTATTCCTAATCAAATCATTATAAAACATTTTTGAACCTCTGGCATACTTGAAAAAAGGTTGTATATTTACTGGTATAAAGGGGGCAACTATGTTGGATTTTGTTAGATCATAAGCTGAGATAAACCCCTTTATTGAAGATGTGAAGCTGTGGTACTGCAGAAAATTTGTAACAATCTGATATTTAAGTGAAAACTCATTAAGGGTATAAAAAGAACCTGCAGAAGCATCTTTTAAAACATCATATATGTTAACCACGCCTTTCTTATACCAATCCCTGTAAAAAATAGTTTTTCCCCCAATACATATGTTTTTGTTATACCAGATTGGTATTTTCAAGAGTAACTCATCCTTTCCTAAGTTGTCCTTTCGCAAACTGTATTTATACCATGATCTAAAAACATCTCTCCAAAATTGGTTTTTACATTTATTCCTGCATAATTGTATATATTCCCTACCACAATTTGCTAGCAAATCAGTATCAGTATAAGTTTTCAAGATAGTCTGCCATTTCTCAGTAGTTTGGAATAATCTTCTTATCCAACTTAATTTTAAAGAACAAATGAAAGCATCTATATTAATCATCTTTAGTCCTCCATTCACATAGTCTTGAATGATAACATCTCTCTTGATTTTATCTGACCCACCATTCCATAAATAAAATATATGTTAATATATATATGACTGAGACGGGGCAAGGTAAAACCTAAAAATTCTTTGTTTGAAAGGGGGTCATCCTTTATGATACAAAGATACCTTGTACCACTGGTTACATTACAGCCTATTAGGGATCGGACTTTAAACCACAGAGATATGGTTTCATAACACAACGCTGTTTTAATGTTTTATGTCCGATTACAACAAGGAATGCATGCTTTGATCAGGTGGCAATGTGTTGACTGTCGGATTAAAGAGGTGGCATTGTGCTGGCCGACGTATAGAACCGGTGGCAGGATGATGCATATATGGCCACCGGATTAAACAGATGGCACGGTGCTGTCAACTGCAGATATGCCACTATGTTGCACTCTCGATTACAAAGGTTGCACTGTACTGCACGTGCTTGGCGCCAGATTACAGAGGTGATATTGTGAAAGCTTCCAGATTAAAGAGGGCAACAGTGTCGCCCGTCAGATTATGGAGGTGGCATTGTGCTGGCCGTCAGATTATAGAGGTGGCACGGTGCTGTCCGTCGGATTACAGATGTGATACGGTGTTGACCGTCGGATTACAGAGGTGACACGGTGCTGGCCGTCGGATTATAGAGGTGATACTATGATGGCCGTCGGATTTTGGAGGTGGCACGATGCTGGCCGTCGGATTATAGAGGTGATACTATGATGGCCGTCGGATTATAGAGGTGGTACGGTGCTGGCCGTCGGAATATAGAGGTGATACTATGTTGGCCGTCGGATTATAGAGGTGGCACGGTGCTGGCCGTCGGAATATAGAGGTGATACTATGTTGGCCGTCGGATTATAGAGGTGGTACGGTGCTGGCTGTCGAATTATAGAGGTAGTACTGTGCTAGCCGACATGATGTGCTAACACGACGATACAGAGGACAGTGCGTCCCCGTGGTGTACCTCGATACCAAATCGATACTTTCTCTAGCATCTCCTGGCTCAGGCGGCGTGTCGTCATTCTAGTCCTGCTGAAGCCTATGAGAAGCCTTGCTCGTAGAATTAGTTCACAGCAATGTCAGGAGAAACGGCACCAGAGATGACTTCCGAAACTAAGGCAGAGGAAGGTGTGGTCCCCGACCCCCCAAAGACACCTCAAATGAGGGCTATCACCTTGACGGGATTTGGGGGTCTCAAGATGCTGAAGACTGTGCAGAGGGATGAAGCCAGTGTGAAGGAAGGCGAAATTCTCATCCGAGTGAAAGCCTGGTAATGTTATATAGTGCTAGCGATATCGATTCAAGGTTGTTTGGTGAACACGTTACCATATGGTTAGTGTTTTAACCGTGATTGTCGGTAAATAGCGCTCATATTTATACACAACTGATTCAATATTGGCGTACATTTATGAAAATTGTAATTACCTTTGTGAATTGCCATTTTATTAATTGTCAAAACACATTCTCGCTGTTCTAGCTCAAAGATCGCCCGTCTGTCTGTCAATGTTGACAGATGCAAACGGAAGGTTTCTTTCCAGTATCAATGCAATTCATGTAGGAATCAATAACGTCATTGCTTCACATTGTTTACTTCTAAGCAGTACGATTCTCGTTACGTTAAGCCGGTTCGTTTACATCGATATGATGCTAAAAGCGCGTCCTGTGGGTCAGAATTCTAAATGCGATTATCTCAGATCGATAAGGTCAATGGTAAATAATGATAAAGCAAACGTTGTTTGCCACTTGTAATCTTTTATCAAAACCTCTCTTTTTTATCGTCCCAACATGTCATCTCTCTATTTATTTCTGCTTACCCTTTACTCTTCCAGCTCTATCTTCTCACATTTCTCTCCTTACCAATATAAAGAACTGCCTCCAAGCTCGACATTCAAAACAATATAATCATGCAACATTTTTATGTATTAATTGTTTTGAAAATGACTCTTTTGTTTTGGTTTTGGTTTGTTGAACTTTAGCTGTAAAGAAATAAAATCGATGTCCACGTACTTGTATTGATCATACCTATATAGCTTCACAAAGCTTCGCGAATATCGGGAACGTTAGACCACGTTATACATGGTCCATCCGTTACGTATGACGACGTACATATGTACCTGCCCCATGTAGAATATGGGCTTTTTTGTGGGTATAGACGAGACCCAAATAGACCTACTGCCTCCACTGTAACACGCGGTAGCTGGTCGGCACCACAGACACGCCTGGTTAACCAGTTGTCAGTACAATGTTACCAGATAAAGTGGTCTCCTTCCCTATCTCATACTGACGATTTAGGATGGTAGCAAATTATCACGGCATTTAGGTAGTGATTGCATTCATCCTCTTTGATCGCCCTCATACAGGGCCTTAGCTGCTTCGAAAACTGTTTTCCTAAAACAAGCAAAAGCACAACCAATAGCACTGTTAAACCGGTACCCTTCTTAGTAGAAGTGATGAATTCGCTATGTTTGCAGACATTCTCCACTTTCATGCAAATGTAGTGTTATCGTCTACTTAAAGATTCTAAAGGTTCCGCCAGCACTATAGGCCCAAATATATCATTGGAAAATCACCTTTCTTCTTAAATGACATGGAAAAATGGAATAAAGAATTTTATAAACAATTGGAGATGAGTCATTTTCCTCATAGTTTTTCATGACGCTAGGACAATGGTCTATTTTTGCAAAATTGGAGATACATTCCTCAAATTGTGACGAGAGAAAATCGACTTTGGCAACGTCACTTGCTGCCGCGACTGTCCATCTCGCGGTCAATACTTGACATTGATGGACGATTGCGGCTGGTGACAATCTATACGAAGCTAATTGGGGTTTCCGAGTACGTTGTACATGTATTATCGAGTACTGAAGAACGTGATAAGCCTCGTCACATATAGCCTCAATTATCGAAACCTCAGTAATTTGGTCACTTCTATAACATCGACTGATTGACCCTTATTAGTTTGGATACCAACATCCAGCCCTCCCACTCCCCTTTCCCCACCCCATCCCCTACAGGACTATTCCTTATTCAATAATACTCCGTAGATGCATTCACCCTATAGCTTGACTCTCCAACCTCCATTGCTCTGCTGGACGTCCCGAGGTAATTGATCTCACTGCATAGCTAGTTTGTCCCTAGACAATGTCCCCAAACATGCCCATCTTCCGTCCTTCCTGAATTGTCACTCAATCATTTTGTAACATTAACCATTAGCATTAACTTTAAGTTCTTGCTAGACTGCTACTGAAAAATGGACAACACATATTTGAGGACTGACCCTAAACATTAGGTCCACACATCTTTGCTGGACTGTCCCTAAACAATAGGACCACACATATTTGAGGACTATCCCTAAACACTAGGACCACACATATTTGAGGACTGATCCTAAACATTAGGTCCACACATCTTTGCTGGACTGTCCCTAAACAATAGGACCACACATATTTGAGGACTGACCCTAAACATTAGGTCCACACATCTTTGCTGGACTGTCCCTAAACAATAGGACCACACATATTTGAGGACTGACCCTAAACATTAGGTCCACACATCTTTGCTGGACTGTCCCTAAACAATAGGACCACACATATTTGAGGACTATCCCTAAACACTAGGACCACACATATTTGAGGACTGATCCTAAACATTAGGTCCACACATCTTTGCTGGACTGTCCCTAAACAATAGGACCACACATATTTGAGGACTGACCCTAAACATTAGGTCCACACATCTTTGCTGGACTGTCCCTAAACAATAGGACCACACATATTTGAGGACTGACCCTAAACATTAGGTCCACACATCTTTGCTGGACTGTCCCTAAACAATAGGACCACACATATTTGAGGACTGACCCTAAACATTAGGTCCACACATCTTTGCTGGACTGTCCCTGAACAATAGGACCACACATCTTTGCTGGACTGTCCCTAAACAATAGGACCACACATATTTGAGGACTGACCCTAAACATTAGGTCCACACATCTTTGCTGGACTGTCCCTAAACAATAGGTCCACACATCTTTGCTGGACTGACCCTAAACATTAGGTCCACACATCTTTGCTGGACTGACCCTAAACAATTAGAACACATATCTTTCCTGGACTGTTACTGAAAAGTGGACAACACTTCTTTGCTGGACTGACCCTGAACAATTAGAACACATATCTTTGCTGGACTGACCCTAAACAATAGGACAACACATCTTTGCTAGACTGACCCTAAACAATAGGACCACACATCTTTGTTGGACTGACCCTAAACAATTATAACACATATCTTTGCTGGACTGACCCTAAACAATAGGACCATTCATCTTTGCTGGACTAATCCGAAACAATAGGACCACACATCTTTGCTGGACTGTCCCTAAACAATAAGAACACACATCTCTGCTGGACTGTCCCTAAACAATAAGAACACAAATCTTTTCTGGACTGACCCTAAACAATAGGACCACACATCTTTGCTGGACTGACCCTAAACAATAGGACTACACATCTTTGCTGGACTGACCCTAAACAATAGGACCACACATCTTTGCTGGACTGACCCTAAACAATAGGACCATACATCTTTGCTGGACTGACCCTAAACAATAGGACCATACATCTTTGCTGGACTGACCCTAAACAATAGGACCATACATCTTTGCTGGACTGACCCTAAACAATAGGACCATACATCTTTGCTGGACTGACCCTAAACAATAGGACCATACATCTTTGCTGGACTGACCCTAAACAATAGGACCATACATCTTTGCTGGACTGTCCCTAAACAATAGGACCATACATCTTTGCTGGACTGACCCTAAACAATAGGACCATACATCTTTGCTGGACTGACCCTAAACAATAGGACCATACATCTTTGCTGGACTGACCCTAAACAATAGGACCATACATCTTTGCTGGACTGACCCTAAACAATAGGACCATACATCTTTGCTGGACTGACCCTAAACAATAGGACCATACATCTTTGCTGGACTGACCCTAAACAATAGGACCATACATCTTTGCTGGACTGACCCTAAACAATAGGACCATACATCTTTGCTGGACTGACCCTAAACAATAGGACCATACATCTTTGCTGGACTGACCCTAAACAATAGGACCATACATCTTTGCTGGACTGACCCTAAACAATAGGACCATACATCTTTGCTGGACTGACCCTAAACAATAGGACCATACATCTTTGCTGGACTGACCCTAAACAATAGGACCATACATCTTTGCTGGACTGACCCTAAACAATAGGACCATACATCTTTGCTGGACTGTCCCTAAACAATAGGACCATACATCTTTGCTGGACTGTCCCTAAACAATAGGACCATACATCTTTGCTGGACTGACCCTAAACAATAGGACCATACATCTTTGCTGGACTGACCCTAAACAATAGGACCATACATCTTTGCTGGACTGACCCTAAACAATAGGACCATACATCTTTGCTGGACTGACCCTAAACAATAGGACCATACATCTTTGCTGGACTGACCCTAAACAATAGGACCATACATCTTTGCTGGACTGACCCTAAACAATAGGACCATACATCTTTGCTGGACTGACCCTAAACAATAGGACCATACATCTTTGCTGGACTGACCCTAAACAATAGGACCATACATCTTTGCTGGACTGACCCTAAACAATAGGACCATACATCTTTGCTGGACTGACCCTAAACAATAGGACCATACATCTTTGCTGGACTGACCCTAAACAATAGGACCATACATCTTTGCTGGACTGACCCTAAACAATAGGACCATACATCTTTGCTGGACTGACCCTAAACAATAGGACCATACATCTTTGCTGGACTGACCCTAAACAATAGGACCATACATCTTTGCTGGACTGACCCTAAACAATAGGACCATACATCTTTGCTGGACTGACCCTAAACAATAGGACCATACATCTTTGCTGGACTGACCCTAAACAATAGGACCATACATCTTTGCTGGACTGACCCTAAACAATAGGACCATACATCTTTGCTGGACTGACCCTAAACAATAGGACCATACATCTTTGCTGGACTGACCCTAAACAATAGGACCATACATCTTTGCTGGACTGACCCTAAACAATAGGACCATACATCTTTGCTGGACTGACCCTAAACAATAGGACCATACATCTTTGCTGGACTGACCCTAAACAATAGGACCATACATCTTTGCTGGACTGACCCTAAACAATAGGACCATACATCTTTGCTGGACTGACCCTAAACAATAGGACCATACATCTTTGCTGGACTGACCCTAAACAATAGGACCATACATCTTTGCTGGACTGACCCTAAACAATAGGACCATACATCTTTGCTGGACTGACCCTAAACAATAGGACCATACATCTTTGCTGGACTGACCCTAAACAATAGGACCATACATCTTTGCTGGACTGACCCTAAACAATAGGACCATACATCTTTGCTGGACTGACCCTAAACAATAGGACCATACATCTTTGCTGGACTGACCCTAAACAATAGGACCATACATCTTTGCTGGACTGACCCTAAACAATAGGACCATACATCTTTGCTGGACTGACCCTAAACAATAGGACCATACATCTTTGCTGGACTGACCCTAAACAATAGGACCATACATCTTTGCTGGACTGACCCTAAACAATAGGACCACACATCTTTGCTGGACTGACCCTAAACAATGGGACCATACATCTTTGCTGGACTGACCCTAAACAATAGGACCATACATCTTTGCTGGACTGACCCTAAACAATGGGACCATACATCTTTGCTGGACTGTCCCTAAACAATGGGACCATACATCTTTGCTGGACTGACCCTAAACAATGGGACCACACATCTTTGCTGGACTGTCCCTAAACAATGGGACCATACATCTTTGCTGGACTGACCCTAAACAATGGGACCACACATCTTTGCTGGACTGTCCCTAAACAATGGGACCATACATCTTTGCTGGACTGACCCTAAACAATGGGACCACACATCTTTGCTGGACTGTCCCTAAACAATGGGACCATACATCTTTGCTGGACTGACCCTAAACAATGGGACCACACATCTTTGCTGGACTGTCCCTAAACAATGGGACCATACATCTTTGCTGGACTGACCCTAAACAATGGGACCACACATCTTTGCTGGACTGTCCCTAAACAATGGGACCATACATCTTTGCTGGACTGACCCTAAACAATAGGACCATACATATGTGCTGGACCGACCCTAAACAATAGGACCATACATATGTGCTGGACTGACCCTAAACAATAGGACCACACATCTTTGCTGGACTGTCCCTAAACAATAGGACCACACATCTCTGCTGGATTGTCCTTAAACAATAGGACCACACATCTTTGCTGGATTGTCCCTAAACAATAGGACCACACATCTTTGCTGGACTGTCCCTAAACAATAGGACCTCACATCTTTGCTGGACTGTCCCTAAAAAAAAGGACCATACTTCTTTCCTGGACTGTCTCTAAACAGTAGGATCATACATCTTTGCTAAACTGTCCCTAAACAATAGGACCACGCATCTTGGCTGGACTGTCCCTAAGATAACCTTACAACATCCTCACCAGTAGGCTAACACCCGTACGTCGAGTTTACAACATCCTCACCAGTAGGCTAACACCCGTACGTCGAGTAGACTATCTACGTCAGTCAGATAACCTTACAACATCCTCACCAGTAGGCTAACACCCGTACGTCGAGTTTACAACATCCTCACCAGTAGGCTAACACCCGTACGTCGAGTAGACTTACTACGTCAGTCAGATAACCTCACAACATCCTCACCAATAGGCTAACACCGGTACGTCGAGTACACTTACTACGTCAGTCAGATAACCTTACAACATCCTCACCAGTAGGCTATCACCCATACATCGAGTAGACTATCTACGTCAGTCAGATAACCTTACAGCATCCTCACCAGTAGGCTATCACCCATACATCGAGTAGACTTACTACGTCAGTCAGATAACCATACAACATACGTCGAGTTGGCTTACTAAACGGACGGGTAACGCATAATTGTATTGAACGATAAGATCAAATTACTTGGTTTTATTGGAAAATCAATCGTATCTTTTCAAATTCGCTTCTGAATTGTATGGCAGAATGATTATACAAGGACTGGATTCTCCATTCTCTGTACCTCTCTCTTTTATATTTTTATACAATTACGTAAGAATCCGAGAGCTGTCCATGTATTGACCACTGATGGGTGCTGATAACAAATGTTGGATCTTACATAATGGAAGCACTGCACCGATATCATTGTAGAGCTCGTCAGTTACTGAACCTTTAAATCTATAGTAAACCCATTCTAAATTACTGGAACACTAACTAGTCTGGATATTTTAATTTACAGTTAAACTCGTTAAGTTGGACACTTTAATTTACAATAAAAACCGTCGGTCTGGGCGTCATGCACGAACAGCTGTATGACCGCGCTGCTTTCTCTTTCAGTGGCCTGAACTTCCTTGACTTGATGGCGAGACAGGGCGTCATTGACAACCCTCCGAAAACTCCAATGACCATCGGGTTCGAATGTTCTGGCGAGGTGGAAGCGCTCGGGCCAAATGCTAGTGGATTTGAAGTAAGTAATAATTGATATTTGTTCAATGAACATCTCCCCGGCCCTCGTACATGGATAGCTGTTTTGTTGTCGTGTTTATTGTTTCTAGAAGAGTTAGCGATGACCGTTACATATACATTGTATTTCTTTCCTGTACATGGTTATATTTCTTGTCTTTTTTACCCAATTTGTACATTTATCTCTAAGTGTAAGAAAAGTAGATATGATAAAAAATACAAAACAGAACTGAGGAGATATAAAAACAAAAAGAGATACTAAACTTTATATCTTTTACGAAAGTTACGAAACAAGTTCTACAGTTGATGTATCAAATTATATTAATCATTCTTGTCGGCTGGATGTAGCGCGCTGGGGGTTTAATGTCTGGGAGGAAACCAAATATCCGGAGGAAAACAAGTGGTCGAGTATCTAACTAGTTACGTTTTCACGTCCGATCAGGAAATCGAATCCTGGCCGTCTTGCTGAACGGCGAGTGCACACCTCTGCACCACCCAACCATCACATGGAAAAGATTCGGTTACACTTTGTTTCAGTATAGCCAACGCCGTACGTAAGATTTGTTCCGGATTAACGTTGTACCACATGGAATCCATAAGATTTGTTCCGGATTAACGTGTTGTGTTTATATGATCGTCGCATTGGTATTAGTCTACTCGGCTTCCGTACAGCGCATTCTGCAGAATCTACTTCCATACAACACATTGTAACTTAACTCTTTGCTGCCTGTAAATCCAATTAGTACACGTTGGGAGTCCATTATCTCATCGCCTCCCCTTGACATTACGTCATGGTACTAATTGGGATCAAACTTTTTACAATTTCCGTAAATAACTGCACTTAATACACTGACATATACTGTAACGAACACTGACACTTGCCGTAACGGACAGTGAACACAATCATACACGATACGTTCACACTTACCGTAACGGACCGTGAACACAATCATACACGATACGTCCATACTTACCGTAACGGACCGTGAACACAATCATACACGATACGGTCACACTTACCGTTACGGACCGTGAACACAATCATACAAGATACGTTCACACTTACCGTACCGGACCGTGAACACAATCATACACGATACGTTCATACTTACCGTAACGGACCGTGAACACAATCAAACACGATACGTTCACACTTACCGTAACGGACCGGGAACACAATCATACACGATACGTCCATACTTACCGTAACGGACCGTGAACACAATCCTACACGATACGTTCACACTTACCGTAACGCACCGTGAACACAATCATACACGATACTTTCACACTTACCGTAACGGACCGTGAACACAATCAATCACGATACCTTCACACTTACCGTAACGGACCGTGAACACAATCATACACGATACGTTCACACTTACCGTTACGGACCGTGAACACAATCATACAAGATACGTTCACACTTACCGTAACGGACCGTGAACACAATCAATCACGATACGTTCACACTTACCGTAACGGACCGAGAACACAATCATACACGATACGTTCACACTTACCGTTACGGACCGTGAACACAATCATACAAGATACGTTCACACTTACCGTAACGGACCGTGAACACAATCATACACGATACGTTCACACTTACCGTAATGGACCGTGAACACAATAATACGGACCATGAACTTAGATGATGCACGACACGTTCACAATTACCGTAATGCGATGGTAGTTGAGCGGCCAAGTGAGCTTATTGGCTTAAGTTACGTAGCGCAGTGTCTAGTTCATATCCAAACCCTGTTTTATTGGTCATCCTGTGGCCTTGACCTAGTATTGTAAATTTCGGAGGAATTCGCAAGATGGCCTACCTGACTACTGATAGGTTGAGACATTTTTAACTTCTGAACCGACCTTTTGTACCTATGATCATCAAATGTCCCTGACCAGAGACATATATAGTACATGGCTTTATATGTCTCTGCCCTGACTAAATATGGCTGTTTTCGGGTACATTCCAGACTCAACCATAGCCTCTGGTTGGCTACGATGTTCACGACTACTAAATATCCACGGTATCCGCTGGTTGTCATGAACTTCTATACATTATCAAAAATACTTTATTTATAAATATGATGCTTTGAGATTGCAAAATCGTTAGACCATTCTAAAGTATTGGAAGTCAAGATTCTATAATAACCTCTCATGGTTGTATAATATTTTATATCACGTCGCAGATACTGGCCTTTTGGGCCTTTTGCTATCTGAGTACGGCCCATGAAGTGGCCTTATAGGCCTTTTGTTATCTGAGTACGGCCCGTGAACTGGCCTTTTAGGCCTCTTGTTATCTGAGTACGGCCAGTGAACTGGCCTTTAAGGCGTCTTGTTATCTGAGTACGTCCCGTGAACTGGCCTTTAGGGCCTCTTGTTATCTGGGTAAGGCAAGTGAACTGGCCTTTTAGGTCTCTTGTTATCTGAGTTAGGCCTTTTGTTATCTGAGTACAGCCCATGAAGTGGCCTTATAGGCCTTTTGGTATCTGAGTACGGTCCGTGAACTGGCCTTTTAGGCCTCTTGTAATCTGAGTACGGCCAGTGAACAGGCCTTTAGACCTCTTGTTATCTGAGTACGGCCATTGAACTGGCCTTTAATGCCTCTTGTTATCTGAGTACGTCCCGTAAACTGGCCTTTAGGCATCTTGTTATCTGAGTACGGCCAATGAACTGACCTTTAAAGCCTCTTGATATCTGAGTACGGCCCGTGAACTGGCCTTTCAGGCCTCTTGTTATCTGAGTTCGGCCAGTGAACTGGATTTTAGGCCTTTTGTTATCTGAGTACGGCCCATGAAGTGGCCTTATAGGCCTTTTGTTATCCGAGTACGGTCCGTGAATTGGCCTGTTAGACCTCTTGTTATCTGAGTGCGGCCAGTGAACTGGCCTTTTAGGCCTTTTGTTATCTGAGTACGGCTCGTGAACTGGCCTTTTAGGTCTCTTGTTATCTGAGAACGGCCCGTGGATGAGTTTCTGTGCTCCGACGTGCACACTTACAACATTAACATGTAAATTGGTAAGGACAAGGCACACGTGCCTCTGCCTATCTTGTTTGTACTTAGAACAGACATCGATTTTCTCACCCTTGTCGCTGCTATTTTGTATAAAATCTCATTTAGCAGCTTTATTCGACAGGATTGTCAGGCGGTCGCTATACGTGGTATAGTATATATGTAATAAATCGTTCAATGAGAAGTACTGCTCCGTGCGATCACGGAAAATTACACATCGGTTTGTTGTTAACTATTTTGTAGATGGGCCATTTATATCATGATCTGTTAATCATGTAAACGGCAACAGCATCAATGATTAATTTGGGACTGAAATACATGACTATTTTCGATCTACCTAATTAGCTAAAACGAAAATAAAACTCTTTGTTTGTAAAGTGTGCTGTGCGGAAGCGGAGGGTGAGTAGTACAGATAAGGATTTATTTAGTAATTAGCGAAGTGTGTTGTACGGAAAAATTGCAGAATAAGCTGTGCGGAATGCACTTACGGGAGTTGGTTTTGCGGAGTGTGGTGTACGGATAAGGATATCGCGGACGGTTTGCTGAACGAAAGCTGATTTAGCAGAGTGCGCTACAGAAAGGGCGATTACTGAAAGGAAGCAGTTTTCGGAGTATGCAGTACAGAAACAGAGTTTATAGAGTGTGCTGTACATGTACAGAAGCAGTGTTTTTGGAGCGTGTTGGCCTTTGCAAAGTGTGCTATACGGAGCTAAGTTTTCGGAGTACGGAGATTGCCGAGTACGAAATCAAATTTTACAGAGTGTGGTGTACGGAAGTGGAGATTGTCGAGTGTTCTGTTCGGAAGCAAAGTCTGCGGAGTGTGTTGTTCGGGAGTGTTTTTTTTAGGATTTAGGATCATATATGTACGGAGTGTATAGAAGTCAAATGTGCATACATTTGTGGTTAAGAGTTTTAATAAAATTGTTATTGTTGATTAATTTGATTAAAACCAGATATTTTATTCCACTCCGATACTCTACGTTTGTCTTTGACAAGAACGTATGGTATTTGAGTGGAATCAAAGATCTGGTTTTCATCAGATTAATTGCCGATACGTTAAAAATCGGCCCCAAATGTGTCAAGGCATGGGCTATCGTTTCCTTATTCACTATTATACATATGTTAAACATGTAACGTTTTATATACAACAGGTTGGTGACCGTGTGATCGGGTTTTGTGACTATGAAGCTTGGGCAGAGCTAGTCGCCATTTCCGCTCACTTTGTCTACAAGATGCCGGACAAGATGAGTTTCCAGGATGGTGCTGCACTAGCCATGAACTACATGGCGGCTTACATGATGCTGTTCGACATAGGAAACTTGAGGCCTGGGAATTCCGTCTTTTGTCATTCCGTTGGAGGTGGCATAGTAAGTTGTGATTAAGTAACCTTATGTTGTGTCAAACCGTCGGAAGTTTAAGTAGGGACAACACTAACTTGTCGAAGGTGTTATTGTTACTAGGAGAAACACTAACTGGTCGGAGGTGCCGTTGTAACTAGGGGCAGCACTAACTTGTCGGAGGTGGCGTTGTAACTAGGGGCAGCACTAATTGTCGAAGGTGGCGTTGTCTCTAGGGGCAACACTCACTTGTCGGAGGTGGTGTTGTAACAAGGGGCATCACTAACTTGTCGGTGGTGGCGTGGTAACTAGAATAAACACGAACTAGTCGGAGGTGCCGTTGTAACTAGGGACAGCACTAACTTGTCGGAGGTGGCGTTGTAACTAGGGGCATCACTAACTTGTCGGTGGTGGCGTGGTAATTAGAATAAACACGAACTAGTCAGAGGTGCCGTTGTAACTAGGGACAGCACTAACTTGTCGGAGGTGGCGTTGTAACAAGGGGCATCACTAACTTGTCGGTGGTGGCGTGGTAACTAGAATAAACACGAACTAGTCGGAGGTGCCGTTGTAACTAGGGACAGCACTAACTTGTCGGAGGTGGCGTTGTAACTAGGGGCAACACTAACTTGTCGGTGGTGGCGTTGTAACTAGGGGCAGCACTAATTAGTCGGAGATGGCGTTGTAACTAGGGACAACACTAACTTGTCGGAGGTGGCGTTGCAACTAGGGGCAACACTAACTTGTCGTAGGTGGCGTTGTAACTAGGGGCAACACTAACTTGTCGGAGGTGGCGTTGTCTCTAGGGGCAACACTAACTTGTCGGAGGTGGCGTTGTAACTAGGAGAAACACTAACTGGTCGGAGGTGCCGTTGTAACTAGGGGCAGCACTAACTTGTCGGAGGTGGCGTTGTAACTAGGGGCAGCACTAACTTGTCGAAGGTGGCGTTGTCTCTAGGGGCAACACTCACTTGTCGGAGGTGGCGTTGTAACTAGGGGCAACACTAACTTGTCGGAGGTGGTGTTGTGACAAGAGAAAGGAACACGTTAAAACAGGTATTGCCAAACTTTGAGCAAGAGCTTAGGTACAAGCTATTTCAACTTATCGACGCGTTTTCCAAATACACAATAACAATGGAAACAATATTATTGCAAAATAAAGGAATTATTTTTCGAAATCTTCAATGTATTGCTGGATTTGACCATTCAAAGAGTTCAGGGTCATTACGCTCTTATATAGGCGTCGATTATTCTATCATGTTACCGGTTATCTCCGTATATCTAAGCAATTAGTTGATGTATACTGATATTTTTATCTATATCATTTTGAAAGGTCAGCGTAGACATAAATTAGAAGTTTAGTTTAACTATGAAATTAATTTAGTTTAATTAAATATTACAATATTGTTTTAGAGGAGTTCTTAGTTTAAGTTACTCATAGACGTTAGCCTGTCATCGTACTGTTTTAGGGACAGGCGATCTCCCAATTGTGTCGGACAGTGGATAACGTCACTCTGTATGGCACGGCATCCTACTACAAACTGGAGTCGGTCAAGGACAACGTCACTCACTTGTTTGACAGAGTTGTGGATTACGGCCAGGAGATTCGAAAGTAAGTGACAGGGAGGTAAAGGATAACAAGCGGGATGTATACATATTTAGCCCATCTAGCCCGAAGAGCAAATCAATTCATCTCGATCCGTTGCTTATGTTTTGGTTTTATTTTGTTTAACGTCCTATTAACAGCTAAGGTTTTAAGGGCGTCGAGCCGTTGCCCCCCGTCATATGTGAACATTTTTTTGGAACGAGTTCTTCTCAATAACCACTGAAGAGATTTCAGCATTTGGTACGGAATATTCATAGGTAATGGGGATTCAAATTCGCAATGGGCTACCTCCTTTTGGTGTGCCCATAAAAGGCGAATAATATAGAATTTTGAGCATCTAAAATCTTCTAACAAAACCATGTACATTATGTAATCCCGCAGAGTAAATGTTCTACAAACTACATCAATAAACGGAACTACTAAGCGCGATTTGAAACACATTGTGCGATATTTGCATCTTAGAACGGCATGCTACCAAGTTTGAAAAAAACACCATCTTTCCATATATTCAAGGTAAGGGAGTCCTTTAAAAAAACACTCTGAGTGTTTCTTTTGAAGAAGGCCGTTTGAAGAATCGAAAGATCTACGGTCATAATATTTCATCATCAGTGACCTTGACCGAAATTCTGTGTGACAATTGTCATATTTATTAATACACTCAAACGACTTCTTTTGAAGAACAAAAAGGTTTAAAGTTCGTACGTAATGATTGGCACGTGCGTTTCTGACATTGGGCGCTTCAAAGTTTGCAGAAAGCAACGGCCTTGACCTTTACTCAAGAGGAAAGAGATTACAATGTGTACTGTCTCCAAATTGATAATGACCAATAAAACCCTCCACCCCTCAATTTGTTTTCGGCAAAAAGTGGGACATTGTTCACCTTAATAAGCCTTTTTCAATTTTATTTCATTCCAGACTGTCCCCAGAAGGGGTAGACATTGTCCTGGATTGTCTCTGTGGGGACGACACCAATAAGGGGATATCTCTGCTGAAACCCATGGGCAAATACGTTTTATATGGTGAGTAAACGCTGAACTGCTGTATGTTGAGAGCCGTGTCAAAGATAATTTACAAGTTACCAGTGCATGGACAACTATACATAGTAGTACAGTACAAGGACAAATACGGATTTTAAAACGAGTACATGGTGAGCAGGCTTTATACGGTGAACTCTCCCAAAATTATGTAGTACTTAGTGTAGAAGCATCAATGCTTTACCAGGTGGCAATTACATAGGCAAATATGTGTTACATGGTTATATCATGAAGCAATTATTGTAACGTGCAGGTGCGCACCCATGCATCCAGCCACTGACCACGTTCGACGTTGCTGAGCTAATGAGCGCGTAGCTTGCTAGTGAGGCAGTATTACCCCACCACACCTCTTCTTCTCTGGCTGGTACAGTAAATTATCAAACCTGGTGCCATTCCTTCTAACTGATTATTGATAAACAATTAAGTAACTGGCATAAAACGTTACCATGTCATCTTCATTTCAGGGTCATCCAATGTTGTGACGGGTGAAACCAAAAGCTTCTTTAGTTTTGCCAAATCTGTAAGTATTAAAACTAAAATGTAATTGTATCGGGGAACATTTCCTAGTCCCAAGAACATGCTCCATAAGCATGAGGTCCATCAGAGTTCACGTGACATCGTGTGACGACAATGCTTCTTGGTCTTCCTCAAAAACTTGTGAAATATAAATACAATGTAACTCTTACAATTTAAAAAACAAATATTTTTTCCTGATTTTGCTTCTGTACTTGGTGAGGATTTGAGTCAATGTCTGGTTTGATGTGAACATCATATATGTTTAATTAGATTTGCCTGAATTTTTTAATTCGTGTAAATGAAGCTACAGTAATGTTTACCCATGTTCCAGTGGTGGCAGGTCGATAAAATCAGCCCCATCAAGTTGTATGACGAGAACAAGAGTATAGCAGGCTTCCAGTTACGAGAGCTCGTGTTCAGACAAGGTCAACACGAGTACGCCCGTAAAGTGATGAACCGCCTCATACAGCTGTACTCGGAGGGAAAGATCCGCCCTAGGATCGACTCGGCCTGGGCCTTCGAGGATGTAAGTCTTCAATACCAACAACATGTAACCATATACATCATCAACTGATGAATAACGTTTTACGATGGGTAAATCCATGTTGATATGGAGGTTATCCAACCCCCTTTTTAAGCGCGCAGGTCACATTAGCTTAAATATCTTATTTGTATCCTTTTTATTAAGAGGAACATAAAACTAAATCGAAAACAACCATCTCATAACTATTATCGGAAATTCAAATAAAAAAATTGGCAATCATATCTGGAAACATGTCCTTATTTTTATGAGGATAAGGCCTCCTGTTCGACCACACAATACCCACAGGGACCTGATCATTTGTTACAGCTATATATTTGGACGAAAGCTAAAGTGTTCAGAGTTATTTTACACGTTTTAGAGGTTTATATCACCTTTCCCACAAAAAAGGTAAAATCACTCTTAATACCTTAGTTTGGTCCAAATATAGCAGCAATAAATTTTCAGGGCTGTTTGACAATAACATCCTCTTATCAATCTGTTGTATCTACAAACAATAAACAATTTGTTTTCTACAGGTGGGTGATGCCATGCAGAAAGTTCATGACAGGAAAAATATTGGAAAAATTATTCTAGATCCAAGTTTGGAACCTAAAGTCAAGGTAAGCCATTGCAATATCATAAGCAATTATTTTCATGTCCTCTGCAATTTTCCTATAAGCATTACCAAAACAAATTGAGTTCATACAGCTATGAGTGCAATTTGATCAGGGTCATTTTGAAGATTCTGGTCCCCCTCGAATATAATAAGATAACCGTTAGAAGCTAACGTTTTGGTGACTTGACGCTGTTCCGGGAATCTCGTTAGCACTAATAACGACACAGACATTTAAGTAACGAAACTACAAAAGAAAACCTATATTTAAGTCAGAAGTAACTACAAATTTAGAATGCAATTATATTGATTGAATAGCATTTTTTCAATGTTCATGCCGGTATGAACACATCGGTTATATAAATATTTAACTGGAATATGTATGTAACCCATTTGCGTTCATATCAGCATGAAATTGAAAATATGTCATTCAATCCTTGTATAAAACTTACTATCTTTTCACAATGTGCAGTTGAATCACCTGGTCACAGTTTACAAATGTCGTGCTATGTTCAATATGGAGGGAATATCTATCCTTGGAGGTTATTACATTTCTGTAAGACCATTGATAACATATGAACTTTGGATTTTGTAAAAATTCAATTAAAACACAAGATAAATGTCAGTTCATATACCTGCATCTATTTTCTGTCGCTTTAAACCATTATTGTGTTTTAGTCAGTGCTTTTCTGCAATCAAAATATCTATAAATTGTATTACTTAAGTAACAAGTCGAATTGGTTATAACAATAATTCTTTTTCCCTATTCAGGCAGTAGTACAAGGTCAAGTTATAACAATAATTCTTTTTCCCTATTCAGCCAGTAGTACAAGGTCAAGTTATAACAAAAGTTCTTTTTCCCTATTCAGGCAGTAGTACAAGGTCAAGTTATAACAAAAATTCTTTTTCCCTATTCAGCCAGTTGTACAAGGTCTAGTTATAGCAATGTTTCTTTTCCCCTATTCAGGCAGGAGTGCAAGGTCAAGATATAACAATAATTCTTTTCCCCTTTTCAGCCAGTAGTAGAAGGTCAAGTAATAACAATAATTCTTTTCCCCTATTCAGGCAGGAGTGCAAGGTCAAGATATAACAATAATTCTTTTCCCCTATTCAGCCAGTAGTGCAAGGTCAAGTTATAACAAGAATTCTTTTCCCCTATTCAGGCAGTAGTGCAAGGTCAAGTTATAACAAAAATTATTTTTCCCTATTCAGCCAGTAGTACAAGGTCAAGTTATAACAATAATTCTTTTCTCCTATTCAGGCAGTAGTACAAGGTCAAGTTATAACAATAATTATTTTTCTCTGTTCAGCCAGTAGTAATAGGTCAAGCTATAACAATAATTCTTTTCCCCTTTTCAGCCAGTAGTACAAGGTCAAGTAATAACAATAATTCTTTTCCCCTATTCAGCCAGTAGTACAAGGTCTAGTTATAGCAATATTTCTTTTCCCCTATTCAGGCAGTAGTGCAAGGTCAAGTTATAACAATCATTATTTTTCCCTATTCAGCCAGTAGTACAAGGTCAAGTTCGGACCCACACTGACAGTTCATGTAGTGATGACAAGGAACCAGTGGCCAATGGAGAGTAGAGTGGTCAGTATTTAAGGAATTCAGTTCAATCAGAGTTGGAGCTGTGTATTGGGTGGTTGGGGTTGTGTTTAATTTGAGGGTTAGAGTTGTGTATGGTTGGAAGGTCAAGGTGGTGTTTAATTGGAGGTAGGGCAGTGTATTGGTTGGTTGGGGTTGTGTTTGATTGGTGGGTTGTGTTGTGTTTGATTGGAGGGTTGGTTGTGTTTGGTTGGTGGGTTGTGTTGTGTTTGATTGGTTGGTTGGGTTGGGTTTGATTGGAGGGTTGGGGTTGTGTTTGATTGGAAGGTTGGGGTTGTTTGCTTGGAGGGTTGGGTTGTGTTTAATTGATGGGATGGGTTGTGTTTGATTGGAGGGTTGTGTTGTAATTGATTGGAGGGTTGGGGTTGTGTTTGATCGGTGGGTTGGGTTGTATTTGATTGATGGGTTGGGTTGTGTTTGATCGGTGGGTTGTGTTGTAATTGATTGGAAGGTTGGGGTTGTAATTGATTGGAGGGTTGTGTTGTTTGATTGGTCGGTTGTGTTGTTTGATTGGTGGGTTGGGTCATGTTTGATTTAAGGGTGACGGCTGTGTATTGGTGGGTTGGGGTTGTATATTGGTGGGTTGGGGTTGTATATTAGTGGGTTGGGGTTGTATATTAGTGGGTTGGGGTTGTGTATTGGTGGGTTGGGGGTTGTATATTAGTGGGTTGGGGTTGTGTATTGGTGGGTTGGGGGTTGTATATTAGTGGGTTGGGGTTGTATATTAGTGGGTTGGGGTTGTGTATTGGTGGGTTGGGGGTTGTATATTAGTGGGTTGGGGTTGTGTATTGGTGGGTTGGGGGTTGTATATTAGTGGGTTGGGGTTGTATATTAGTGGGTTGGGGTTGTGTATTGGTGGGTTGGGGGTTGTATATTAGTGGGTTGGGGTTGTGTATTGGTGGGTTGGGGGTTGTATATTAGTGGGTTGGGGTTGTATATTAGTGGGTTGGGGTTGTGTATTGGTGGGTTGGGGGTTGTATATTAGTGGGTTGGGGTTGTGTATTGGTGGGTTGGGGGTTGTATATTAGTGGGTTGGGGTTGTATATTAGTGGGTTGGGGTTGTGTATTGGTGGGTTGGGGGTTGTATATTAGTGGGTTGGGGTTGTGTATTGGTGGGTTGGGGGTTGTATATTAGTGGGTTGGGGTTGTATATTAGTGGGTTGGGGTTGTGTATTGGTGGGTTGGGGGTTGTATATTAGTGGGTTGGGGTTGTGTATTGGTGGGTTGGGGGTTGTATATTAGTGGGTTGGGGTTGTATATTAGTGGGTTGGGGTTGTGTATTGGTGGGTTGGGGGTTGTATATTAGTGGGTTGGGGTTGTGTATTGGTGGGTTGGGGGTTGTATATTAGTGGGTTGGGGTTGTATATTAGTGGGTTGGGGTTGTGTATTGGTGGGTTGGGGGTTGTATATTAGTGGGTTGGGGTTGTATATTAGTGGGTTGGGGTTGTATATTAGTGGGTTGGGGTTGTGTTATTGGTTGGTTTGAATTGTGCATGATTTATTTTCGAAGACATTAAGTTTTACTGAAGTTCGAATTTATATAAATATACTAGATTTGATGGGAAAAAAAATCGAGTGATTTTATTGATATCAACCTCTTTATTACAGATGTTTGCAGGAGTGCGACTGTTTTTGGAGGCCATGGCACCACACCAGTGGTACAGCCATAATCAAGAGTAAAACCTGTGACCTTGGGTGTGAATAACAGGTGCATGAAGGTCATATTCACAATTCCTTATAATGCTGCATGTGGAACTGCTGAACACACTCCAGGAAAACCAAACTGTAGCCATGGTATTACTAAACAGAACCCCTGTCACCTCCAAAGTCTGTTTACGATAGCCATGTATTCACAATGTAAAGTTGAATTGCATCTAAAGATTAAATATAGTGTTTAGTGATAGGGCTACATTTAGTGATTAATTAGATCAACGTGTGAGTATAAGGGAAACATTTAGTGGTTTATAGATGAAATTCATGAAAAACTTGTTGACTGGTAGATTAATATGCTTGACAACATTCCAATAGAAAGACTATAGTTAATATATAATATATCTGGATGATTAGCTATAGGACATTGTCATGCAGTAGTAGTACACTTTTCTGTTATACTGTATGAAAACCTCCATTAAATATAGTGCCCTGTACATTACATATCCCCGACAAGCTTAAGACACCCTGAGAACATTGTGTAATTATAGACTTGGTATTAAGGACTCCATTAAATACAGTGTCCTGTACGTTACATATCCCCGACAAGCTTACGGCACCCTGAGAACATTGTGTAATCATAGACTTGGTATTAAGGACTAGTTCTGTATTAGATATCTAGAAACAAACTATATATCAACCATTAAACATTTGCTGACAGAAATGTCTCAGAATATAACCCGAGGCAAAATTGTCAGCATTTTAAGCACCCCTTTATCTTATTATCATATTACAAATGATCTTTATCATCAAAGAAACTTTTCAATAATTTTGCCACAATCCCCTGCAAATTTTAATACTGAAAAAAACCATGATTATTCTTATTAATGTTAAACAACTAGGATTTGGATGGTTCACATGAACACACCTTCTCTTCATTCAAAATCCCTAAAATCCATATTGTTATACATATATTCCTGAAACTGTCAAAAACTGTGGAAATGAGTTCATTTGTATATTTTATTGTTCTTTATTGACAGGAGTTATTTCCCCTTACATTAACAATCAAGAGTTATTTCCCTTTATACCATAAAAAAACAGGCTTATAGAAACCTCTTTGGTTGAATAAAAAGACAAAGCAATCATACCATGTCCAAACTAAATCAAGACCATATGTTAAAACTGCAGCTTTTAAGATTAGCCAAAAGACATTACTTAGATTGATTCATGTTAATATATGCATTGTGGGAACGGAGTGAAGCTGAGTGACGGTATAACCATATCCTGGTTAACTGTAACAGAGCGAGTGAGTGAATTCATGAAAATGATTACAAATGCTGTTTCATAATTATCCACCTGTTATTATTGTTAGATTGTGGTATTACAAAGCTCGTCCTTAAATGGTGATGAATCTCCAAATACAGCATGATCCTTAGAAGTCCTTAGAGAATTCCTGCTATTCACAAATTTTTGACATACAAATTGTTCACATCAGAATTTCACAGTTAAACCCAGCAAGTGTAACACTCAAATAAAAAATTAATTTCCTACCAATTGACTACTTACAATTGTGACCGGAACATTAAATTTTAAGTTGACTGTTAACTCATTCACCCCTGAAGACACATTTGAACTCTTCCAATTCAAAGGTTGGATTTAGTTCATTATGAAATTTCAGGGGTGAATGAGTTAACTAGGTTGTTGCTTCCAAAGAGAACTCCAGGTGAAAGACCGGACAACAGCCAGAACAAACCTTGTGTGGTTCCGAATACATTAACCTTTACTTCATATTCTGTATTTTTCATAACTTATGAGAAACTTCAAACTTTTTCGAAATAGACTGATAAACAGAATTGCGTTGATTGTGACTTATATCATTTAAGGATGAGGTTATGCTATACAACATATTTAGGTAGTTATATGTGCTATTCATAGGCTAGAATCTCAGGCCGTTGTTATTTATTTTGTAAAGTTTATATATTGTTTTCAAACATGGTTAGTGACCACTTTGATTTAAATGATTTGTTGTGATAACTGAAAGTTAGAGGACTATTTTTAGAATCGTTATATATATGATGTTTAATGAATAGAAAAAAATATTGTGTCTAAAGTAAATCAAATCTAAGACACTAATTAAAGGTATTTTACACAACATTGGTAAACTTGGGATTCATGACGGAATGTCTGAAATTACCATGCAATGTTAACTAATTTGTGTGTCCCTTGCCACAATGTACACACTCTGAAACCACTTTCTTCAATTTATCTGTCAGTACATAGGTACAAGTTTATTTTGATTGAAGGATTTTTTTTTGATTTTTTTAAATGCACTTAATTCATGGAATATTGAAAAATTGAAGCTTTTACAAAACTACTTTTATGCTTATTTAATACATATTTACTCCCAGCATACATTACTATCTACCTGCCTTGTAACTTAACTTCTAATCTAGCAATTCCAAATTCCTGTAGTATTGCTCTACATCTATAGATTACTGCTAATATTATTTTTAGAGTTAATACCTCGTTCGCACGAGATAAAAATAATATCAGCATGTCTTGAAAGGGGCTCTGTAGTTATCCAATATCTGTGTTTCAGTATGTTTTATCTTACATGACATTGCTTTATTCCATTCTTTTTTGTCACGATACTTAGCTTACATGTATGAGCTAAGAGATGTTTGTACTAGCAGAATCCTTAACCACACCTTGTGATCACAGGGGCCTGTAACAGCAGTATCCTTATCCAAATCTTGTGATCACAGGGGCCTGTAACATCGGTATCCTTCTCCACACCTTGTGATCACAGGGGCCTGTAACAGCAGTATCCAAATCTGGTGATCACAGGGGCCTGTAACAATAGTATCCTTATCCACACCTTGTGATCACAGGGGCCTGTAACAGCAGTATCCCTATCCACACAATTCTTGTCGCAAGAATAACACTACAGTGCTAATGTTATTATGTTACATTTGTACATGTATATGCGACGTTAAATAAAGCTTCTTGACCTTGTGATCACATTGGGCTTGTAACATCAGATTCTCAACCACACTTTGTGATCACGGGGACTTGTAACATCAGAGTCCCTATCCACACCTTGTGATCACAGGGGCTTGTTACAGCAGTATCCCTATCCACACTTTGTGATCAGAGGGGCTTGTAACATCAGAATCCACAACCATACTTTGTGATCACAGGAGCTTGTAACATCAGAATCCCTATCCACACCTTGTGATCACAGGGGCTTGTAACATCAGAATCCACAACCACACTTTGTGATCACAGGGGCTTGTAACATCAGAATCCCTATCCACACCTTGTGATTACATCAGAATCATTAATCATAGCATTGAGCACAGGGGCTTACTACCCAAGATTAAACAAGTAACCCTTTGGCATAGTGGTAAATGGGAGCAAAGCACAGAGTTTATGCAAAGGTGCTGGTATCAATTTAAATATTATGGACAAGTGAATCAATGTTATTACTGCTGATATTGTGTACACTATTGAGGATGTGATTTGCCAAGCAAGCTATCTTCTGAATCGTCACCCAATTCTTGTATTGTTTTTTAAGCCCCACGTCACCTAATCTAACGATTCAGTATTGGGCAATTTTGTCCGATTTATAAGATTCTTTGTTATCTGTTGACATGCCACAGTGACAATATATTACCATCGGCTGATCAAACCCGACATACACCTGGAAAATCACCGGATAAAATGTGACATGTGACATGGAACGCTGATACTGTAACTAATTAAAATGCACTTTGTGATAGAATTATTTCCTAATTAGACTTTCCCAGACATTGTCAACCCATCAATGCAATCAACCAATTAACTGTTATTTATTAAAATGTTTATGTTTTGTTAGCATCTGTAAGCAAATTACTGTTGATATCATTTAAATACTATTTACTCTAGAATGTATTATGATGTAGATTATGTATATATATATATCATGCTTGTTTACCTTCAAACTTAACAACTGTGAAGTGTGGTTATGACCGGTAAACCTTGTGTGAAGGACATTATTGTAATTAGAAGGAAATCAAGATTGTGTGATAATTGCAATACAAGACAATTGTGAAGATCATGTGATAACTGTAAAGGAAAAAATGGGAGGATTGTTTGGTGTGAACAACACATGAGTGTAGAATGTGTTGGTATTTACGATTTTATCATGATGTAACAGTTTCACACTGGTTAGAATGCAATCCAGCCATGTGTAGTTTAAAGGTCAAAGTTTAAAAGTTCACTTCCCTTAATGTTTGTCCAGTCACCTGTCTGTCATCAAATGGAAATAAAAGTTGTATTTTGAAATGTTATTGACCATTGCTATTGACTAAGCATTGTTGTAGTAGACTAGAAGTCTAACAGATCAGAAAGGGCCCTGCAGCATGCCTGACTACGGTACATATAAATATATCCTGAAAAATTGTGAAGCAGAAACTACAGGAAACATCTCAGATTTAAGAATTGTGGTAATAAAACCTTGAAAAAGTCTGTAATCTGACAAAACACCGTTTACCACTGAGTATAACAAAACAGACCAACAGAACAGATGTTGGTGTCCTCCGCAATGAAGCCATTCTGGTCCCTGTGGAGTATAACATATAGAGGATCTTGGCTAATCAGAAACCATGGCAGCCATGTTGGATTATGGGATCTGAATTATGACCTTATTCACTAAGAATCCAGCAAGTACAACCAGCTAGTATAGTAGGATCAGAATTGTACCACTGGAACAAAAGTCGTAGCTGTAACTGACTCAGCCAATCAGATGACAGATAGTCAAGATCTGCAGATGATGACCTTGAAGTAGACAGATGGCATTTTGCATATCAGGATCTTGGCAATATTTCTTTATCAACCTAGGATATCTATTTTTAGTAACAGACACCTTGACCGTAGGAAAAAAATAACCTAATTAGCCTATTTTACTTCTACATATAACATTTAATCACCATGTGAAATTGAGACTTCTGGAATATGCCTGATGCAGAGCCCTCATTTTTTTTCACTATGTATTCCTTGGATTGTAAAGGTAGCAAAATCTGACCTATACAGTTTAATGCCACCCGTTAAACCGCCAAACCCGCATACCGCCATTAATTTACTCAGAACCGATTTCCCCAACATTAATGCACCCGAACCCGCATATCGCCATCATATTACCAAAACAAATGGTTAAAATCACACTATTTTGATCTGTTAAATACCGCCAATTTGAGATGAGTACAGATGTATTGCGATGACAGGAATGTTACGTACGTGTGTACATTGTATTGTTACACATGACTGCTGACTGACCAGGTAATCAGCCATTTTTTTAGTTTTTTTAGGTCACCTGAGACAAAGTCTCAAGTGACCTATTGCGATCGCCTTTTGTCCGTCCGTAAACAATTTACCTTTTCGACTTCTTCTCCAAAACCCCTGAACCAATTTCAATGAAATTTTGCAGGGACCTTCCATGGATAAAGGTCAACAAAAATAGTGGCCGGTTTAGTCCCAAGCCCCCAGGGACCTCAGGGGCAGGACCAAAAAGGGTCAAATTGACTAAAATTTCAAAAATCTTCTTCTCCAAAACCCCCGAACCAATTTCAATGAAATTTTGCAGGGACCTTCCATGGATAAAGGTCAACAAAAATAGTGGCCGGTTTAGGCCCAAGCCCCCAGGGGTCTGAGGGGCAGGGCCAAAAAGGGTCAAATTGACGAAAATTTCAAAAATCTTCTTCTTAAGATCCAGATATGGTAGAATCAAATGCTCTTCATAGATGGAGGGGTCTTAAGGTGCTTTACCAAAATTGTGAATTTCATGACCCTGGGGTCTCACGTTTCCCCCTGGGGAGGGGGTAAACTTTACTATAGTTTATATAGGGAAATCACATTTTGGACCAAAATTTGTTTAATTTCCATTGGAAGTAATTCAATTTGGGTTAGCATTATCAGTTTTAGGTGGCAGTTTGATAGTATGCACATATGAGCCCTGACTGGCCCCCAAGGGCTGATGGGTGGGGCAAAAAAGGGTTGAATTGACTGAAATTTCAAAAACCTTCTTCTCAAGACCCAGATATGGTAAAATCAAATACTCTTCATATATGGAAGGGTCTTAAGGTGCTTTACCAAAATTGTGAATTTCATGACGCTGGGGTCTCACGTTTCCTCCTTGGGAGGGGGTAAATTTTACTATAGTTTATATAGGGAAATCACATTTTGGACCAACATTTGTTTAACTTCCATTGGAAGTAATTCAATTTGGGTTAGCATTATCAGTATTAGGTAGCAGTTTGATAATAAGCACATATCAGCCCTGACTGACCCCCAGGGGCTGATGGAAGGGACCAAAAAGGGTAGATGGAAGGGTCTTAAGGTTTATGACCCTAGGGTCTCACGTTTACCCCTGGGGAAGGAGGGGGGGGGG